CTTAGATCCCTTCTGCTTTTCTAAGCCCTTTATCTCTAATAAACTTCCTGTAAGTTAGTCTCCAATTTAATCATAATCCAAAGGGATCACACTACTGGTCTCCAGGGTCTGCATGATGGTGCCAGCACTGGAATGTGACGAGAAGGAAACCCTAGTTCAATCAGGGAGCTGCAAGAGTTTTTCCCGTCAGCTTCTGCATCAAGCACAACTGCTTCTTCACCTATGACTGGCTTTAGACAGTAGAGAAGCAAATGCCCCCACCCCGCAAGTACAGAGTACTCACAGACATGCTCTTTTAGCTCTTGAAGCAGAGAACGCCACAAGCTCTTCTACTAATCCGGCCCAACATAACAGTAAATTACAATAATAATAAATGTGCAGCCCTCTCAAGAAACTCAACATCAGTTGCCTGAAGAAGCCAACTTATTTTGCCTGCTAGCACGGGTGGCCCTGCAACCCCTCACCTTTTACCCTAGTATAGATAAACAGATCTCTTTCTACAAGAAAGTGACACAACTTGCAATGATTTCCTCTATCATTCTTGCTTTTTCTGGTTGATAAATCTAGGTAGCTGTCATTCCAACTGGAAACAGAAAACTCCTGCTGAAATCAACATTGTATTAAAAAAACCCCAACACCTTAGCATTTATGGGCGCACAAAAATGGAAAAAGAAAGCTGTTGTGCCACTTCATACCCTCTTAGGAATGTTTCATTCAAAAAAGCTCTGTTCTTCATTTCTTTCATTTTTGTTAGTCTCAATTGTTCTAGTCCAAAATATCATCAACAGGTCAAGTGTGGGAGGTTGTAAAAACAAAGATTCCGCAAAATTATGCTTTGACCAAGAGTCAACTACTAATGATGAATATTAGCTCCACATATATTGTCTTGGCTGGAAAGTTTAGTGCGCTGGAATACCTCACCAATCTGTGTAGCCATAGGTCAGCCACAGACTCATGGAGAGCCCCCCCCCCAGAAGAATGGAAAGATAAACCAGTTTTTTTCCTACTTCAGAAATAAAAAAGCAGAAAGGAAATTGGAAGTCGTTTGGTATATAAGAACAGCATGGTTACTCTTTGAAATATTTAGGCATTCATTTAGACCAAATATTGACATATAAAAAACATTTCTTGAACATCAAGCATCCAATCACTGCCAGAAATAGCCTATCAAGAAATTTTTCTGGAATTAACAGGGAGGCTTGCACCTAAACTATATATATAGTTTAAGAGACTATATAGTTTAGGTGCAGCAATATTTAGCAGCAATATTATATATACTGCAAATATTTGCTGCTAAATATGCTCATCCGGGTGTGGTACAAATTTGCATATGCTAAACATGTAGATACAAGACTAAATAAGATATGTATTATTACTGGGTGTATGAACGCAACCCCTATTTATAAAGTATATTATCTGTTGCTGCCTAAATACAACAGGAAGTGAAAGCAAATATTGACAGAAGCAAGGTAGCAAAAATGCAGCTCATCTTCCAATAAGAAGATTGAGATCTAGAAAGGCTTCTTAAATTCTACGCTACTAACCACTGGACCTGAGGAGGCCAGACTCGGTCTACAGAGAGCTAGTACTACCTATTTAATGGAAAGCATGGAAACAGCTGAGCAGCCAGTGCCAGCATATAATGCTAGATGGGATTTGTGGACGTCTCTGGACAGATTATGAAGAAGTCTTTGATGATCCAAGGACAATTTAGATAAATGAAGATATTCATCAGCTGGGGTAACGACATGTGAATGTGGAGAAAACCAAACCACACAACAACTCTGTCAGTCCTGTAATGTGAATGGAAGAAAATCTTTTCAGGGGAAGAGATAATGCAATTGACATAGCTTAATTTTGGTCCACATGCATTTACTTCTTTTAATATATAATTAAGCCATTGTATTTTAAATGCATCTTTGTTTAATGTATATATTGGTTGTTTAATGTCTTATAAGTGAATAATAAAAGAGTCCTTGCCTATATTTCAACACTTTGGTTGCATGAGTCAGAGTTGGTTTGACAGCATGTAACTATTAATTGAACCTTACAACCAGCCTGTAAGGTAGGGCAGCAGTATTGTCATTTATACATTTAAGTGGAGAATATGAGTCTAAGACCACCCAGTGAGTTCAAACCAGGGATTTCCTTATTTGCAGCCCAGTCTCTGACACACTAGTGTGTGATGTGAGTGTTGAGGGTGGTGTTGGGAGGAAATCTGTGGTGGAGCAGCTGCTATACCTAAAGCCCTGGCAGATGTTTTTGTTTTCCTTGCTTCAGATTCCAAAGGGAGATAAAATATGACACCAGCCCCAGGACCGGTGAGGTTTTGAGGAAAACATGTTGGAAAATGAGGGGGTATTCTAAGAGCCTCATAGTGCAGTGGTTAAACTGCTGTACTGCAGCCAAAACTGTGCTCACAACCTGGGGTTCAATCCTAGGTAGTCAACTCAAGGTTGATTTAGCCTTCCATCTTTCCAAGGTTGGTAAAATGAGTACTCAGCTTTCTGGAGGGGCAATGTGTAGCCTGCATAATTAACTTGTAAACCACCCAGAGAGTGCTTGAAGCGCTGTGGGGCGGTATATAAGTAGCAACACTTTGTTTTTTGCTTTTTATTCAGCTCTTGTAAGAATCCTTGACCACACTAAAATGCTTCTCTGTTTTAGTCTGTGCTGCAGGTTGATATCAGTGGAGACAGGGGCCTGAGCATCCGAAGTGGCATCAGTGGATCTCCTTCTCTGCTGGGGGGAGCAGGACCTATAAACCTTTGCATGGCCTATCAGACAGCTACATGAAAACAGTAGTTTGTATCCCTTCTCTTTTGCATGTTCAATGTTACTTACTCCCACATAAATGTAGTTCCGGCTGCAGACAGAGTTAGCGTTTTATCGTAGCTCCAAAGCTAGGAAGTAATAGGGTAGGTTTTATGTGCCACCAGATCTGTTTCATTGAAGTAGTCCCCTTTGCCTTTCTCAATGCTACTCCATTCCCACCCTCCCCCTCCCCCTGCCAGGTTGTTTCTTTAGCAACAAATGTTTAATACTCAAATGAAAGATGAATTTATTCCTTTCCCCTAAATCAGCATCTATATTTATCAAGGCAGAAAGTACCGTGGCTGTTTTAAATAGCACATTTTAGAAAATGGTTGGGAGCTTTCTAAGGGCTGGGACTTCACAGTGTCCTGTATAGTTTCTTGTCTTTTCTGTTACTTAGAAGCATGCATATTACACAGGTGTGTAATTATATATATATACTTGCAAATATACACACATTGGTATAATCTATAGATATTATAGTATTTGGATGTTTGTAGATGCAGAATATGGATAAGTTGGATTTTTGTTTTAGTTCTGTGTACATATAATTCTGCTAATAGGTATCATCTGATCTGTCTTCTTACAGCCAGATCCAATTAGCCCTGTGAACTCTCACAGTGAGCTCAAGTCCTTTCTAAACAGACATTCACACAAGCCAATCACATTGCCAGTCTACTAGTCACAATGTTATGATCATTACGTTTTAAGAACATACTCTTGCTCAGTGCTTCGTGCACAATATTTTTTTTCCTGCCATTTGCCTATGTTTTTGTTTTCTCTCTATTTAAAGATCAGTTACTTTTGCAACCTATTTCAGTTCGCAGTGTATCTTGAAAGCAGAACAGTCTTTTTAAAGTGTTAGAATCAATCGTCTTCGATCACTTCAAACCAAAACGCCAGCATTCAGCCACAGAACATAGATGATGTCTATGCATTGCCCACTTGGCACAGAGCGGGCGAGCGAGCGAGAAGTCAGCCGTCAAAAGACATCTGAGGTGTGCAGACGGTTCCAAATGCAGGTGCAGCGTCCTGTATAACTCGGCGTAGGTCCCGACGCTAAGAGGGGGGGAAAATGTCGCAGAGGAAATGATGGTGGTGGCGCGACATTTACCTGAAGTCCTCTGTAGTACCTGTGAGCTGCAAGGCATAGTTACCCAAGATAAAGGGGGTGGGATGCTATTTTAAGACACCGAGTAAGGTTCTGGAAGGCGCTTTGACGGGATACAAGGAAGGGGGCCAATGCAGATAGTGCGTCAACGAGGGGAGCTGTACATAAGGGTGTGGCCAAAGCAGGATCTGACCAACTGCAGCGCCACAGCCTTTCTGTGGTGGGAAGGGTGGTCTATTCCTCACCCCACCACCACCCTCCTCTCCTCCCCGGGGAGAAAGCACTTGGCAACGGCTGTTCTCACGCCTTGCTCAATGCAGATTTACACCATAGGTATAGCACAAGAGTCGGTGGTCTCGTCCCTAATGATGCAGAAAGCAGGGAGGGGGGGCGTTCGGGTGCGGCAGCTGCAGCTCCCATTGCGTTGCAAGTGGGCGGGGTACGGCATGCGTCTCCTCGCGAGGTGAAAGTCCACATACATGGATTTCTAGCTTGCGCCATGCTGCCCTTGCCCTCACGTGGCACGATCCAGGTCTGGGCTACCCTTGATCCTGACCAGGACAGTACCTTTGAGAGTGCGGGGGGGGGGGGAATT